GCATTGATCTGGATGAGTCCATTATGGTCTACAGTGGTGAAAGGGTTAAAGCAACAATTTTTCTGATGTAATCACTTTACAAAAGCCAGTAAAAGGAGGAATAGAAAAACAAAACAAGAGGCCCAATGGGCCTGCATCGCTCACCTGGTATTTATCTCGCACTTGTAATCTTAAAAGTGGACTAGGTTATTCAGAAGAAGATTTTTAAATGTTTTTAACATATTTGACCCCTGTGACCTTGAATATAAGTCAAGGTCATTTATTTGAACAAACTTGGTAGCCCTTCATCTCAGCATGTTACTGGCCAAATATCATCATCCTAGGCCTCTCGGTTATTCAGAAGAAGTTGTTTAAAGGTTTTACGCATATTTGACCCCTGTGACCTTGAATATAAGTCAAGGTCATTATTTGAACAAACTTGGTAGCCCTTCATCCCAGCATGTTACTGGCCAAATATCATCACCCTAGACCTCTCGGATACTCAGAAGAAGTTGTTTAAAGGTTTTATACATATTTGACCCTTGTGACCTGGAAAATTAATGAAGGTCATTTATTTGAACAAACTTGGTAGCCCTTCATCCAAGCATACTTCTGGCCAAATATCATCACCCTAGGTCTTTTGGTTACTGAGAAGAAGTTGTTTAAAGTAAAAACATAGCTCACTTGGCCCTTCGGGCCAGGTGAGCGAACAAGAAAACCTTCTAACCTCATAAGATTTACACAGAAAAATGCCAAATCTGTTCCAGTGTGGATGAGAGCATTAAAATATCCATCAGTGACATGTTGGGTAAATGACATGTTTACTTTACCCTTACCTACAGGAATTCCTAATGCTTTGCTGAATGGCTTGATTAAATAAACGTTACTACGCACTGTCTGTCAGACCAAGATACCATCCAGTCAACGTCAATTTGGTTGTTCAATTCAGGGGGAAAGTGTAGCATGTAAAAACGCACGTAGACATACCCTGATATAGTCTACAGACGGGCCAGTCACCCCTGATATAGTCTACAGACGGCCAGTCATGATCACCGTGAGATCTCTGGAGCTCTCTCACAGACAGAAATCCACAGTATCAATCTACTTACATCTTCTACTCACAAAGCCATTAGATGCACCGATATGTATCTACTCTATACCAAACTATACCTTCTTGTCCATCATTGCCAAAAAACATCATACAATTAAAAACATTATGTATGGAACCTATTTTCGAACTTATTAGATTTAAATGAAACGTTTAACTATATTCCGGTAAGAGATGCAACAAATTACAAAACATTTTGCATACAATTTGAGTTTTTTTCTCTCATAAATTGTTTCTGAAAAAGAAGATTTTCATATCTTGACTTTCACTTGCCTATTTCATTTACACATTTACATACTCTGTAAGCTACACAGTAAATGTCGATTCATAACTTTTTCAACTGAGCCTGCTGATTTTCCAACATCCCTGAAATAAAACTTGCTGTTAAAGTGATCATCTTGACTGAATACTCATCAAAATCCTGTTTCACATTTCAGGAATTTCTGAATTAATGAATATTTCATGTAGCCAGGGTTTTCCACTAGAGAAGCTTCAATCAACACTGAGGATAATTTCAGTCATCACGACCTGATTTTCACCTATGCGACTTGAATATCTACCAGGATTAAATACAAGATATCTTCAGAGCCACATGTGGTGAAGGAAATGCATAACTTTCAGAGTACCTGGATTTGTCTTGTTCTGTAAGGGTCATGATGGTTGCCTGTTTGTTTTGATATCTCTTGAATTCCAATTAGTGTCGTTTCTGATGAGATTGAGCTCCGATTTTATCCTTACAATCTATTTTAGTACATTTTTTCTGGTTTGCTTTCAAATGAAACTATAACTGAAACCTAAAAACTGAAACATCTCTTCCATGACATATGTGTTTTTATTCTGCAAACAGTATATCCGATAGACATGTACAACTCCATTAATTGTGATTAACTTTACCTGATTTCATAAAAATTCAAAGTCTCTTAAAAGCACAAAAAGTATAAAACTAGACCTGTAAGTCTAATACCCCCTACACTTCAGTTGTTAACTAACATTTAGTTGTAAAAGATAAAAATATGAACTAATATTACCTGCTATGAAAACAAAAACACTGAAGGTTAAGATTTACCACTGCATCAGTGAATTTTTTTACATGGAGTAATCTCCCTTATATATTGAAGCTGAAGCAACAGAATTAGTTTTTGCTGGCTTTGAGTAACTTTCTGTCAACATTTTTATTTTCGTAAACTCTAAGGTCAATAAACTGGACTTTTAATTTGGTGTTGCTCATTTGTAATTCCTGAATGGTAATCTTTCTAAGAGAAGAATTAGCAATGTAAAGGTCCTGAGTTTGACCCCGGCAGTTTTTTTGGTGTTTTTTTCATTATTCTTTGTATTTAGAAACATGAAACTTTCAAACAACTATGTTTCTGTAAAATGCATCACATGCCCTTTTCATGCAATGGTTACCTAGAAAGGATTTAAACAAATAGACACAACAGAGACAGTGTAAATTACAAATAACCTTAATGTATTCTACCCAGGCATATTCCTTGGATACCAGCTACAAAGGACAAACCATGAAACACCTAATTCCTTGGATACCAGCTACACAGGACAAACCATGAAACACCTTAAGCCTTAGATACCAGCTACACAGGACAAGCCATGAAACACCTTAATCCTTGGATACCAGCTACAGAGGACAAACCATGAAACACCTTAATCCTTAGATACCAGCTACACAAGACAAACAATGAAACACCTTAACCCTTAGATACCAGCTACAGAGGACAAACCATGAAACACCTTAACCCTTAGATCCCAGCTACACAGGACAAACCATGAAACACCTAATCCCTGGATACTAGCTACACAGGACAAACCATGAAACGCCTTATTCCTTGGATACCAGCTACACAGGACAAACCATGAAACACCTAATCCTTGGATACTAGCTACACAGGACAAACCATGAAACACCTTAATCCTTGGATACCAGCTACACAGGACAAACCATGAAACACCTTAAGCCTTAGATACCAGCTACACAGGACAAGCCATGAAACACCTTAATCCTTGGATACCAGCTAAACAGGACAAACCATGAAACACCTAAATCCTTGGATACCAGCTACACAGGACAAACCATGAAACACCTAATCCTTGGATAACAGCTACAGAGGACAAACCATGAAACACCTAATTCCTTGGATACCAGCTACACGGGACAAACCATGAAACACCTAATCCTTGGATACCAGCTACCCAGGACAAACCATGAAACACCTTAACCCTTAGATCCCAGCTACACAGGACAAACCATGAAACACCTTAACCCTTAGATCCCAGCTACACAGGACAAACCATGAAACACCTTAAGCCTTAGATACCAGCTACACAGGACAAACCATGAAACACCTAAATCTTTGGATACCAGCTACAGAGGACAAACCATAGCACATTAATCCTTGGATACCATCTACACAGGACAAACCATGAAACACCTTAATCCTTGGATACCAGCTACAGAGGACAAACCATGAAACACCTAAATCCTTAGATACCAGCTACAGAGGACAAACCATGAAACATCTTAATCCTTGGATACCAGCTACAGAGGACAAACCATGAAACACCTAAATCCTTGGATACCAGCTACAGAGGACAAACCATAGCACATTATTCCTTGGATACCAGCTACACAGGACAAATCATGAAACACCTTAATCCTTAGATACCAGCTACAGAGGACAAACCATGAAACACCTTAATCATTGGACACCAGCTATAGAGGACAAACCATGAAGCACCTAATTCCTTGGATACCAGCTACAGAGGACAAACAATGAAACACCTAATTCCCTGGATACCAGCTACAGAGGACAAACCATGAAACACCTAAATCCTTGGATACCAGCTACAGAGGACAAACCATGAAACACCTAATTCCTTGGATACCAGCTACAGAAGACAAACCATGAAACACCTAAATCCTTGGATAACAGCTACAGAGGACAAACCATGAAACACCTAATCCTTGGATACCAGCTACAGAGGACAAACCATGAAGCACCTAATTCCTTGGATACCAGCTACAGAGGACAAACCATGAAACACATAATTCCTTGGATACCAGCTACAGAGGACAAACCATGAAACACCTTATTCCCAGGATACCAGCTACAGAGGACAAACCATGAAACAAATTATCCCCTGGATACCTGACTATAGAAACAAATTATAAAGTACCTTATGTTTTAGATAAATATCTACAGAGAACAAGACATTCCTTAACTCCAAATACTAAGACAACATAGTTATTAGTTTATACCTTAAAACCACTTACATATAATAGTTCTAGTCACTTGATTCCTTTATCTCTTCTACAAGATCATAATCTTTTACAAGGGCTAAAAGGTGGTCTGTTACGTCCATGTAAAATGGGAAACACATAAACAGATACACATTCTGGTTGCCAAATTTTCCATTTGATGAGAGTTTACATTAACAGGTTACATACTATTCCGTCAACTTTGACCCCCCCTTCCCCATTCACAGTAACATGATGGGACCTCTTGTAAACTTTGTAATCAAGTTAATCACTTTGAAAGGTAGCCAAATATAGCTGGCAAGATATCTATATAGGACCCCCAGAGAAGCGTCATTACATAAATTGTACTTCAATCAAATTGAATGTTAAGTGAATGTTTTTAAAGTTCTATTTCTATAATTTAAAAAAAAAAATCATTTTAAATCTATAAAGTTCAAAGTTTGAGGTATTAATTAAATGGTATATTTAACTGCTTAATTAACTCACCATTACACATATCAATTACAATCTATCCACTCAAAGTATGTATTTCTAACCTCTGATTAGCATTAGTGAGCTGTGAAATACTATTCTATAAACCTTTTATATAAGTATATGAATTTTATCTTGTTTTGTTTGACATTCTAACATTGTTCCACTTACCTGTATTCTGTTTGTAGTTCAGTAAATACTGTCCATTGTCAGCCTTGTAATTCACCATATCGATGATGGATTATCCCTAAGGTTCACTTCAGCTCTGAAGTTTGTGCTCCGCCGTTAGTCCTTTAACTGAAAATAAAATGATGCAATGAACACAGGGTGCAGATATACCTATGAAAACCAACAGTTTTGATTGGCCAAGATTTTGTTTTGGACTTGTAGATCTATTGGACTACACAGAGTGTGTAAAGTTGCCCTCCCCCTGAAGTGAATAGACCAGACTGTGGCATTAAACTGGTTCCACAACAAATCAGTCAATCAGCCATGTAGATATCAATATGTAGCATTCATTTGTTTGGACCAACAGCAAGAGAGGGGTATGTGAAATATGCTGCTTCAGCAGACATGAATATTCATGGGATTCAACGTTTTCAAATACCATTATAATACCAGGTTATTCTGTCTACCCACCTTTGCACAGAACAGCCTGTATGTTACACACACTATATCCTCTGTCCAACCGAGGTGTCTACATCAACACCATACTCTCAAAACATGTTATGTTGAACAACTTGTGTAGTATTATTGACACATATATATATACTGTCAGATTTCGGCTAGTTTGTTGTACACTGATACAGAGCTGCATGTGTAGCTATCCTACCTAGAGGTATTCTGGTATCCACATCTGTGTGCGTCACTTTCACAGCAGCTAACATCAATACTGTCTGAGTTACACTACCGAAAATAGCCACCAACTCCTGGCTCGCCCTTGACGGTAGGATGGTGCTGTATTAGCATTTAATATTCATGATAACTCTTTAGAGCTTTGCTCATTCCCAATTTACACAATCGTTAATCAAAATTAAGCAAAAAAATTAATAACTTTAAAGCAATCCTTGTAATCTTGAAATCAGAGAGTACGATTATCTTATGTTAAAAGCCTTAATAAGTAGCTGTAATTTGGTGTTACAAGGTTTTTAATTAAATGTGACAGGCAGAAACATTTCACCTGAAAACTTTGAACAGCCACTTAATGAGGTCCTTCATATTACATAATTCTAATTTGTATTAAGGAGGTTCACAACAGTAGTTGTCTCCCTTTAGGTTCTTCCAACATAGTAGGTATACAGATTGAGAATGAACACATCTTTTGCTGGTGTTACTCATCATACATGTGTATAAATACTTTAATTCTAGGGCCTTGTGTATTCAATACAGTGCTTTACAGTATGGTACTTATTTTTTACATTAATTTTACATCTTGCTATCACAAACGGAAATCCAGAACCATTATAAAATAGATAAATCAAGGTTTGTTAACTCATTCATCCCTGAAATTTTATAATGAACTATTCAAACCTTTAAATTGGAAGAGTTCAAATGTGTCTTCAGGGGTGAATGAGTTAATGAACGCAGACAGAACACCGACTTCCGTCAGTGAGATGAAACCTGCATGGGTGGAATCATGTAGGCGAAAAACCTGTCAACCAACCAACCAACCATGGGTGGAATCATGTAGGCGAAAAACCTGTCAACCAACCAACCAAAGTTTGTTAACGTGACTGTGCACACATCAACAGTAAGCAACATTCCGCCGCAATCACAAAACTTTCACACATACAAAATTTGGTAATTGCTGAGGACAGCGTATATGAGATTTGCCCCAGAAAAGTGATGCACGGACAGCTAGGTTGCCTGATGGATGGATTGGAAACCTAGTCGTTTATGGTGGGTGCACAAGTACCATTGCAAGACTCAACCAACTACACAGAAAGCATCAACAACAAAGTCTAAATACATCCACTTTCACACAACTTAATCAGATGATAGACTGAAGCCACATGAACGTACATTATATTTGTACAGAATTCCAAACAGGCTGTTATATCACCTGTATATTAATTTTGATATACCTTATAAAAATCACCATAGAAATGCACTGAAAGTCAGCTGTCACAGGAATCTCATATGTTATCTGTATTGATCTCACTCAGAACAGTACCATACATGTCAATTAATACCACAACACACGCTTGGTATTCCAATAATGTCATTTTCATAATGTACATAATCCCTTCAAACAGCCATAAAAATGATGGACATCGAAGATTTTCTGATTTTTTGATTTTCTGACAATTTATGGACAATGACGTGACGTCACAAATGGCGCAACAAAATGGCTGTCTCCTTTTGATGAAACCCTCTACATTTTGGCTTTTGGCTTTTATTCTAAACTAGTCTTAGATGAGTTTTCATTTCATATGAGCTTTTATGAAACTCGTCTCAAAGTTTTAATTTTTGATCGCCAAGGCTCACAAAAATATAAACTCCTACGACGCGTTTCATAAAATCTCATATGAAATGAAAACTCATTTAGGACTAGTTCAGAATATCTCCTTGAGTTTGCTTTACCTTCCATAAACAAGGGAGAATACTCTTAAGTAGAACACTTCTTTGCAACTATAACTTGTTCAGTGGTAAGCTCTACCTTAATGCACTACTGGGTACATACATGTACTATATTGGTGACCTACTGACACACTACTGAATTAAAGTCTGCCACAGTAAATTGAACTTTGGAATCAGTGGTGGTAACAAGGACACACATATTGATCAATCAATGACTTGAATGGATGTGATCAGTTCCTTTATGTACGGTAGTTAGTGTCCATTACCTACTCACAAGGTATACCTCGACTGAGGGTGATTTATGCTAAGGTGTCCCAACACCATAAGCTGTATATTCTCACCAGGACAGTTATTGTGTTGCCTAATCTGTAGAGATCTGTTTAGGACTGTTTGAATGTATGTAAAGGTTATTACACTTTTCCATTGTGAGAGGTGGGAAGTATGCAGTAAGTATTATAAGTCATCCATTCACACTTGGGTAGAGTGACATGTGTGTACAGACCTCACCTGTACATTCCAATTAATTAGTGCTAAGACATCAAATTATATTCTCTGACTGAATAATTCACCATATCTTATTGTGTATTTAGTGTATCGCAACTTCATTATCAAATAACCTGCCAATAATATAATATTTTAATTTCAAATGAAAATCATTCAGAGTTACTCAAGCAGTAATATACCCTGGAGCGATTTTCATTGGCTGTGCCAGTCAGAAATCGATTGTGACGTCATAATATGGACAATGACGTGACGTCACAAATGGCGCAACAAAATGGCTGTCTCCTTTTGATGAAACCCTCTACATTTTGGCTTTTATTCTGAACTAGTCTTAGATGAGTTTTCACTTCATATGAGCTTTTATGAAACTCGTCTCAATGTTTTAATTTTTGATCGCCAAGGCTCACAAAAATATAAACTCCTACGACGCGTTTCATAAAATCTCATATGAAATGAAAACTCATTTAGGACTAGTTCAGAATATCTCCTTGAGTTTGCTTTACCTTCCATAAACAAGGGAGAATACTCTTCAGTAGAACCCTTCTTTGCAACTATAACTTGTTCAGTGGTAAGCTCTACCTTGATGCACTACTGGGTACATACATGTACTATATTGGTGACCTACTGACACACTACTGAATTAAAGTCTGCCACAGTAAATTGAACTTTGGAATCAGTGGTGGTAACAAGGACACACATATTGATCAATCAATGACTTGAATGGATGTGATCAGTTCCTTTATGTACGGTAGTTAGTGTCCATTACCTACTCACAAGGTATACCTCGACTGAGGGTGATTTATGCTAAGGTGTCCCAACACCATAAGCTGTATATTCTCACCAGGACAGTTATTGTGTTGCCTAATCGGTAGAGATCTGTTTAGGACTGTTTGAATGTATGTATTATAAGTCATCCATTCACACTTGGGTAGAGTGACATGTGTGTACAGACCTCACCTGTACATTCCAATTAATTAGTGCTAAGACATCAAATTATATTCTCTGACTGAATAATTCACCATATCTTATTGTGTATTTAGTGTATCGCAATTATCAAATAACCTGCCAATAATATAATATTTTAATTTCAAATGAAAATCATTCAAAGTTACTCAAGCAGTAAATGTGACATTGGTACAATGGAATCTTTTGTCCCTTTGGTTTAGAAGGATTTAAAGTCCCTGGCATTGAATCATATGTGGAGAATCAGCAAAATTAGTATTAAATACTAAAGTGAATTAATTTGCTCAGTTTTAATGTGGAATACAGGCTGTTTTCCCTAGATAAGAAGTGCCTTATTTTCCCAAAATTACCAAAAGACTGAGGAATATATTCCTGATTTCAATACAGATAATGCCAATCTCCCAATTCATACAGGAACAAGCAGATTAAAAATTTAGGTAACAAATCACTGTACTAACACACTGCCTAGCCAACAGGGGGATCCTTTCTGAATTATATGTCCATTAACACCACCAGCCTGTCCATCGTCCCAATTGTAAGCAGTAGAAAAAGTATACAATAATAGTTTAAAACAGTATTAAAGTCTGTCAAAAAATGTACAACAGTATATATTTGTGCCCCAATGTCACTCTGTAAACCAAGTACAGTTTGTTTGGGGTCATCACACTATGAAATGAGAAGTGATACGAAAGTGACCAAAAAACCAACAAGGAAATCAGGAAGTCACGTTTGACTCTTGTTTAGTATTTTGAGGCAAGAAGTTGTCTTTTTACTACAAAACCACAGCATTATTTATTTCTCTAGGCGGAAACGAAATGACATGTTTAACATCCTGATAAATCTTCTCTATGACCATACCACTGTGAGGTCAATGCCATTAGAACCTAAGCAAGCTCTCACTAGAACATTTTATCACATAATGTACTGTGTTATCCAGTGAATATACCCATATCATATTTGTTGGCGTATTAACCCATGTAATATGACCTATATCAGCCCTGTAATTGGTTGTAAGTTTCAATTGTTTCAATTGTGACGTCACGCCTAGGACAAGTACATGACGTCACAGATTTACACACTGGAGTCAAAATGGCGTCATTTTACATTTCAAGGTTGCATGAAAATTGTTGTTTTACACGATTAATGCCTTAAGTCTTGATTATGTGATAAAAAGGATCTTACACTCGTTTTCATTTCAGAGGCTCGCTAAATTGAAAAATTCCTAAGACTCGTTTCATAAATCTCATATGAAATGGAAACTCATTTAGGATCCTATATGTCCAGCCCGTCCGTCTCGTTTAAAATGGAATGTCTCTATGAGTGTCACCATAGGTCCATGCAAGTAACAGGACTAGAGTCTTTCTAGCATGTATAATAAACTTGACCAGCAATATCATGTCGAAACAGTTCTTCGGTATCAACAAATAACTTGACAGTGATAGATTTTCCAGAGACCACATTACTCACTTTTTTAAAATTTAACAGACATGCCTCCGTGATGCGACATCAGAAACACGTCAATTTTCATAACAAAAATAAAAATCATTGTTTTCAATGTTCCTTTATAATTGTTACAATAAAAAATATGACATAAAGTTACCAGGTAGTAGAAACTGATAAAAGGATGGTTTACAGAACCACAGACGATATTGTGAAAAATTCAGTCACATGAACAGGCACATGCTTCGGGCTGTTCTTCCCGCCAAACATTTCAGTGATTCTACATGGGAATTATATATTTTTGATGTCTTTATCAATTTATTCTAAAGACAGAGATAGGTGAACATGTAAATATGTAAGCATTACAAAGAAATAAAAAGTGGTTCGTGTTTTAACTTCCTATAATGCAGTAGTAATTCATTTTGTTTATGAGTTACATCTGAAAGCAGTTAAAAGCTTAAGTAATAACAGCATATGATAGTATATAATAAAAGTATACAATAGCTTTAATTGTATGTAGTCTACAAATGTCTGTCAACATGTGAGCGTCACTCGTGCGAATAAATCCACAACTGCCTAGAAAATATCTATAAGATTCAAAATCAGTCTTTGGTACACACATGTTGAATGTCAGTGTAATAGAAATGTAAATGGGCTCGACTTAACAGATTCTTATCTGAGAGCAACTCTATGGGTGTTTATGCTGAATTCTAGATGTTTCAGTACTTTAGAATAGGATATTATGGTGCTTTTTTATAAAGATGAAAAATGCTGAAGATTTTTTAAAGTATAAAATCTGTAACACACAGGACACAAAAGCAAACATAATACAAAGTTTAAGTGTTATGTCATAAGCCTTTTTATCACATAATGTTATTAGTTACACGGATTTTTGGCAGGGTATACAGGATGGTATGACCCAAAAGGGTTTCGTATTTCCTGAGGCCTTTAGGTGTGTTTTGTGTGTTTTGTGGCACATAGTTAGCCCTTTTGGCGAGTATTTCCTCATCAATATGCGAAGCGAAACGTTTTGTCATTTTGTAAACATCGCCGGAAGCAGACGACGAATGCGAGTTGTCTCCCATTGCCCGGCCGCAAGATACAAAGACACGTGACCCGTAGACCCCTTGTAAAAGCACGTGATTCCACCGTATTACTGCTGAGAATCACGTGACATGACCGTATACCCCCTGAGATTTTCGTATACCCCTTGAGATTAACGAATGCGGTTTGGTACACTGTAGTTTTTAACCAATCAGATTCCTAGATTTTCCTCAAAGGGGTAATAAACTGTGTTATCCAGTGAATATACCCATGTCATATCTTTTGCGTATTACCCATGTAATATATGACCTATCAGCCCTGTGATTGGTTGCAAGTTCCAATTGTTTCAATTGTGACGTCACGCCTAGGACAAGTACATGACATCACAGACTTACGCACTGGAGTCAAAATGGCGGCTTTTTACATTTCAAGGTGGCATGAAAACTGTCGTTTTACATGAATAAATGCCACACATCTTGATTATGTGATAAAAAGGATCTAACACTCGTTTCATTTCATATGAAATTTATGAAACTCGTCAAAAATGTTTCGTTTTAGCTCGCCAGTGGCTCGCTAAATAAAAAAAATCTTAAGACTCATTTCATAAATCTCATATGAAATGGAAACTCATGTAAGATCCTATATGTGAAGAACACATCTCATAAAAGTACTAAATCATGAGTACTGTATAAGGACTGAGTACCCAAACCTGTGTAACCCCTCATGCTGACACCAGCAGAGCTATACATGGTCGGTGGGGATCTATTCAGACTGGTGTGAAATACTGTATATTTATACACTTTATTATCTTAACTACACCAAAAGAACTTCACAAATTGTTTGATATCTGTTCAAATAGATCACAGAGTTTAAGCAAATACACGGGCTTAATCACATATATAGTATATGGTCGATCGTTTACCTTACTAGCTAGCGTATTCAGAGTAATGATTCAAGCTATATTATAACAGTATATGGACAAAACAAAAAACCAAGGGTACTAAATTATTTTGAGTGTGAAAAAAAATGTAACAGTTTTGTTGATCAGTTTTAAAGAAGCGAACTCAGGGTCTTTTATCTCTATACTGTAACCTCTGGCACATACAGTTACATAAAGTAATACCTACCAACTATAAGCTACTTATACACAAAGGTGCAGCATACAGCACCTGTATTGTATACCACTGAGACCTGTTAGAATTATAACATATGGAATATACATGTAACTTATACAGAGCACAGTTACATATAAGTAATACCTACCAACTATAAGCTACTTATACACAAAGGTGCAGCATACAGCACCTGTATTGTATACCGCCGAGACCTGTTAGAATTATAACATATGGAATATACATGTAACTTATACAGAACACAGTTACATATAGTAATACCTACCAACTATAAGCTACTTATACACAAAGGTGCAGCATACAGCACCTGTATTGTATACCACTGAGACATGTTAGAATTATAACATATGGAATATACATGTAACTTATACAGTTACATATAGTAATACCAACTTTTTTTGCAGCACCTATTATATATACCACAGCTGGGACCTGTTAGAATTACATGCATGTATAACATATGGAATATACATAAAGAAGGATATCCTAACATTTTACTAAATAACCATGTACTTACATAACTTATTGGAATGTAAACTCCATGTCTGCCCCAGATAATATATGTGTCAGTAACATTCAATGTCCCGAAAGTTCCTTACACCAAATGTAATAATCTTAAGTAGATTACCGATACAGCCGACACAGCCGTGGGTTAATCGGTTCCAGCTAAGCCCTAAATCCAGTATTTGGCTATAGTAATGCCCATGTCCATGCTCTGTATGTACTCACGATCTTCACTGGCCAGTTCAAACTCCTGTGGAGCTAGGGGTTAAAACTTCTCATGAGGAAAAATCCATTTCACAAGAATTAAATGAGTCTTGATAAGAATTAATCGTTCATCAATCACGATGTAGAAGATTATGTAGATCCTATTAGAGCTAGATCAGTAAAAGTTGGTGAACACGTTACCAGTTTGATAGCCCTACCTGTGTCTGGCCCAGGGCACCTGTCTGTTACAGTTCCATTGTCTACCTTAGTTACAGTCATAGATTTAAAGGACAAAGCAATCAAAAACCAAGCTTAGGATCACACATGTGTAAATTATATGTGTATTAGCTGTACTTAGGTTAACATTTATTTCAGGTATTGTTCCTCAACGTTTCTTGTCCAATTGACGTCAGCACTATTAAATATTGTCCAATAAATTGAATAGTGATTATTTTTTCTAAAGAAATGTAGAGCACGCTTTTTTTCAAATGTTAAATCCAGTTATTTTATATACATATATACAGAAATGATATCAGACAAATTGCTAAACTGCTCTTGCTTTTCTAAAAACATACTTTAGGATAGAAAGTGCTCAATTTGAACCATATAACTGGTACATAAAATGTAGTCAATAATTATCCATTGGAACCATTGTGACCTGGTACAAAGAGGTTGTCAATATTTGCCCAGTAGGAGGTACATTTGAATATACCTATGGTGTAAGCTGTCTACATGCAGCTTGAGAACTACCTTTTAAAAAATAATTTACTTTTTGAATTTCAGTCAGGTTTCAGAATCTCTTTTTCCACTGATATATGTCTTGTCCATCTTTTAGATCACACTAGATTGCAAACCACAAAAGGCCTTTTTACAGGAATGGTCCTATCAGAAAGCTTTTGATACTGAGGACCATGAGATTTTGTGTATTTTACTCCATATAATGGAAATTAGATCCATATCATGGTTTGAATCATATTTATCTAATAGAAAACAGATTGTGAATATCAATGGTTTTAAGGTGGCTCCACACTTTCCCAATTAACCAGCAAAATTCGTTGAAACTTTCATATAATGGTTATGCAACTATGTAGAGTTGATTTTATGAAAATCTAAACATTCCGATAGTTTGGGGACTTTTTTGGAAAAAATACAAAAAAAATGAATTTTCGTCAATTTTAATATTTTCCGGGTTTTTTGTGTGTGACATTGTTCGGAACAATAACAGCAATGATAAAATGAAAAGAAGCATTTCTAATGAACCCTACAAATATTTTATTTATCGCAAAATATGTAACACATGTTACACAAAGTGTTTTTTATTGTATTTTTACGGATAAAGTGATTATCTACAAGCTAAAAGCAAACAGGACACGAAGATCTATACATATAGAATGGGAAATTGAACAATATATACACAATGGCTTTATGATTAATTTAATTTACATTTTACAATCACTTCGATCCGGGTGAGAGTTATCTTCCTTGAAAAAAAATGGAACTTTTTGCAGAGGGGTGACATTTACACAATGACAGTTGTCTCTGTTTACATATAACAAAAAAGGATGGAAATAAATCAAAAATTATCAATTTATTGTTCTTTAATGGAACCAAATTAACCTCAGTCATGTTACACTTTGGACATCATTCCACAGTCTGCTAACTCACGGTATGTTTATAATTACATGTCAGGTACATATGTGACCAGAGGCTATCGCATGGTATGCCGTTCTCACGTGCACTCACACATGCATTTCATAGGTATCTTGATATTTTACAAAACATTATTTTCACAGAGTAAGTAGACTACATTTGTAAACACGATTTAATTGACAGAGCAAAACTCCCTCAACAGCGAAAATCGTAACGACCCCAAGCTTATGAACTTGTGTAAGCACATGATTTGCACATGTGAGGTCGGTACGTCCGCATTACATGCGTTTCCTATATGACCTTCTTGAGGTTGTCTGGTCACATGTCACTGTCTTCCCGTGAGTCTGTTTATCTGTTTATGACTATGAATTGGAAAGCTTTATTCCTGAAGTACGTGTGATTATACATTTCCCGGTAAAATCTCGAAATCGGGTGTTGACATATCATCGGCACGCACGTGTACTATTGTTTACCAGGGGCCTGGTCGTTTATGCGGAGCAACCAGTTTGACCGTTTATAAATGTAACAATTTCGGGTACAAATCCTGGCGGACCTGCAAATGTGTATGCAGGCCTTGTAAGGCTTTCTCAAGGCTCGCCTGAAAGCAGCATCAGATTACTAGGTCCGACCTTATTTAATAAACGAACAACAGTGCATGGTCCGATCGGTTTGACGTTTAAAAGAAAACGGCCCAGGTGTAACTATAATTTGCACTACAATATTGAATGCCCAATACGGAAATGACGACACGGTGTACATGCACATTTCGATCAAGATAATTGAGTCAGAGCTGTACTTTTTCCGGAAGTAGGTCACGAAAATGGACGCTGATGACGATGTGTGGAGCCACCTTAACTCAGATCTATGTAATATTACTTTTGGGGTCCCCCAAGGGAGCTTACTCAGACCCCTTCTTTTCTTAGTCGATGTAAATGATCTGCAAGTTAGTATTGACAAACAATGGGTCCCCTAAGGGAGCTTACTCAGACCACTTCTTTTCTTAGTCTATGTAAATGATCTGCAAGTTAGTAGTGACATACAATAGGTCCCCCAAGGGAGCTTACTCAGACCACTTCTTTTCTTAGTCTATGTTAATGATCTGCAAGTTAGTTGTGACAGACAATGGGTCCCCCAAGGGAGCTTACTCAGACCACTTCATTTCTTAGTCTGTGTAAATGATCTGCAAGTTAGTAGTGACAGACAATGGGTCCCCAAGGGAGCTTACTCGGACCACTTCTTTTCTTAGTCTATGTAAATGATCTGCAAGTTAGTAGTGACAGACAATGGGTCCCCCAAGGGAGCTTACTCAGACCACTTCATTTCTTAGTCTATGTAAATTAAATGATCTACAAGTTAGTAGTGACAAACAATGTAAAGTTTTGCTTTATGCAGATGATACAGCCATACTTTTTTCTCATGTGAATTCAAATGTTATTCAAAGCTATGGAAAGTTGCCACAATTGACGGGTGGACAACAAACTATCTCTTCACTTGGGTAAAACTGAGAGCATTTTGTTTGGACCGAAAGGGAAAATACAGAACCTGAATATTAATGACTTTATCGTCTGGTGTAAAGGATATAAAAATGAAGCCAGATCCTGTGTAAAATACCTGGGTATAACTCTAGACAGGTTTTTACCTGGTGAATCCTTCGCTAATACTATCATTACTATAGTAAATCAAAGGTTGAAATTGTACAGAAACAGTTGTTGTCTTTCTCCACAAACCAGGAAAACTTTGTTATGTATTAACCCTTTCACCATTGTAGACCATAATGGACTCTTCCAAATTAATGTATGGTAGAGTTCACTCAAGTTACATAGGGGTGAAAGGGTTAATACAGTGTTACTTTGATTATGCATGTTCTTCATGGAATGAAGGTCTTTCAAAGAAGCTCAAAGATAAGTTATAAGTAGCTCAAAATAAAGTAATTAAATTCGTTTTAAATCTCCATCAGAGAAAAAGCGTGATATTTTTAGAATTTGAACAAGTAGTTTGTTTTTTTAATTTGTAACCGAGTTAGACAGTTAAGACTGAATCATGTTTTTAATATTTTTCATGGAAATTAAGTGCCCAGACTATCTGAACCATGGCTTTACACGTCAAGCTTCAACTCATTTTACTAGATCTAAGCAATTAAATTTTTATATTTCTGCTATGAAAGGGTTAGAAGCTTAAACTTTTTATTATAATGGTGTGAAGGACTGGAATATGCTTCCTAGTAATACAAAGCAAAGTTCAAAGAATAGCACTTTAAAAACTCATGTGAAAAAGTACTTTATGGAATCACAAAAAATATTTTTTATTCTACTAGAACCAATGTAACTTTTTATTAGATTGTCCATTATTTTTTTAATTAACTTTGATATCTTAAATATTTATGTGCCAATATTAATTATTAAATTTGTCTTAACCGTAACTGACATGCTCTTTTATGGACCCCATTGGAAATCAGTTTTATTTTAACTTGTATGGGTTATCCAAGGTAACGGGCCAATTGTTTGTTTCACTTACTGTGTCTACTAGTACTTATACCTACAGCGATATATAGTCTTGTCTGTAAAATTGTGTATGTAAAATATTATATTAAAATATTAAAATACCATGCCGAAGGCACCCAGCACAGCATTCCACCGGTCACATTATACTGACAATGGGTGAACCAGTTGTTGGCATTCCCTTTAATGCCGAGCGTGAAGCAGGGAATAACAACTATCATTTTTAAGGACTTTGGTATGTCAGAACCCATTGCCTTCCTCACCTGGGCAAATGCTCAACATTAAAACCAAGAGTGAATGTTGCCAAGCAGGGTGCTAGGAAATAAAAATATTTAGAACTAGAGAGAAATATAAATATCCCAAATAATGCAATGAGTACAGCAGATATATTTTGATCGCTTTTGCGTGCCCCAGTAGAGGGCACAAAAGGAAATCCCCAATTCTGCAGGAGTTACCACATAAGTAGCCTTTTACGATGTATGCAGTGGGTGACAGCAGGTGTATTCTTTTCTCGATCCCCGACCTACAGGGGTGGAAATAAATAAGTGATAATAACTTAAGGAGGTATGGTATGTGATAATCTATACCGAAAATATTGGAATTAAAAAGTCCTTTGATGTTCAATGGTGCAGAAAATAATGTTCCTAAAGTTATTGTACACCACACATCTTCACCCCAGGGCATGAAAAAGTTTGCTGAATTAAACCAGCATGAAATTGCAAAGAAATGACAGCCAAGATATAAATATACAAAATTTGATCAGTAGGATGGAAAATGTAGGTCACTGTGGACAAATCTTCACCCCTACATTTAAATTAATTTCGGTAACCTGCATGTAAATGTAAGAATATTATAGCCCTGCAACAAGTTTAATTTATTGTTCAGTGGGATAGAAGATATTGGTCCCAGTCACTATTACCACGGAATTAGATTAGATTGTTATCTATGTCCATGCTATTACCTATTTCTGGCATGCAACAAACTTAAATTTGTTAAGTCTGTATGACAAATTGAGGGAAATAGCTGGGTTCAAAACGAGTACCATAGGCACATGCACGTACAACC